ATTTTAATGTTTGTATTTTAATGTATGCATTTAAATGTGTGCATTTTAATGTGTGTATTTTAATGTGTGCATTTTCATGTGTGCATTTTAGTGTGAGCATTTTAATGTGTGTATTTTAATGTGTGTATTTTAATGTGTGTATTTTAATGTTTGCATTTGAATGTGTGTATTTTAATGTGTGCATTTTGAATGTGTGTATTTTAATGTGTGCATTTGAATGTGTGTATTTTAATGTGTTCATTTTAATCTGTGTATTTTATGTGTGCATTTGTATGTGTGTATTTTAATGTGTGCATTTGAATGTGTGTATTTTAATGTGTGCATTTGAATGTGTGTATTTTAATGTGTGCATTTTAATATGAGTACGACGTTTAGTTCTACTCATATGAGTTAATATGTTTTATTTTTAATGCCATGTGTTTATTTCATACTTCTTTAATCAATGTATTTATTTCATTTTTATTTAATCAGATGTTTTTATCTAATACATCTTTAATCCTATTTGTTCATTTCATACCTATTTAATCCGATGTGTTTATTTCAAACGTTTTTAATCAGATATGTTTATTTTAAAATTATTTAATTGCAAGTTTACATTTCATACCCATACTTTTGTTTTAGACGTACGTTTTAAGGATACATTTATATTTGGTAAAAGAAGAATTTTTTTTTTTTTTTTTGCAAATCTTCTTGAATATTTATCGTTATGTAATTTATAGTATTTTGTGTACTAGGAGAGTCTTGATTATATGTTTAAATTATTTTTTTTTTTTTTTTTTTTTTTTTTTTTTTTTTTTTTTTTTTAAATTTTTTATTTTTATTTTTTTTTTTTTTTTTTTTTTTTTTTTTTTTTTCTTATTTTTTAAGTTTTTTTTTATATTTTTTAAAAGAAGAATTTTTTTTTTTTTTTTTGCAAATCTTCTTGAATATTTATCGTTATGTAATTTATAGTATTTTGTGTACTAGGAGAGTCTTGATTATATGTTTAAATTATATATTGAATGTGTGTCCACAATTTAATTTATACTATTTTTGTACTAGCACAGTCTTGATTATATGTTCCAAATAAATACTTTTTTAACGATTCCTTTTGTACTTTGAGAGTCTTACTCTACTAATCATGATGAAATTTCTGTCCAATTGAATTTATTACAGATAATTGTTTATCTTGTTTTATCTTGCATAATTTCGTTTAGAATTAAATATTTTTTGTGTTCTATTATGTTTGTTTATTTGTTGTAATCCACTGTCTCTTTAATAAATATGTTGCAATGATCTCGTATTTTAAAACTTCATTCATTGTTGTTGTTTTTTCTTTAAACAAATGCAGCTTACATCAACACATCTTAAACCAGACACAAACATCAACAGAGCGCGGTCGAACATGCATGTCGGTAAGAGTATCAATAACAGTTATTCGGGTGGCCTGGTGTAGACAGAGGCAAAGATTGATCTAATCGAAAGATGTCGATAAGAGATCGGAGCCTCAAATAGCTACAAGTTATGAAGCGTTCTTTTCTTTCACCGGCATCGACGTTTTAACAGGCCCTTTTTATGTAGTGGGAAAGCGACACACGTCGGTAATTTGCTTGGAATAAATGCAAACCATTATTAAGATTTTTATTATGATTACTGTTTCTGGTGAACCTCGCTTGGTATTAAGAGTTCTGGCTTTCAGATGCAAGTCCAGCAAAAGAATGCAATGTTGCAACAAAAAACAAAAAAATGATAATAACAAAATCTTTAATTATCTTTTGAAAAAAAAACATATTTTAGCATTTAAAAAAATCTCGTATGATGGAATATTTTAATTCTATACAATAGATTCTTCGCTTGAACCATATTGGCCTAAATTATACTATATGTATATATATATATATATATACATATATATATACATATATATATATATATGTGTGTGTGTGTTAAATTACCCCATCTATGCCCAAAAAACCAGCATTGCGGGAGTGTGGTCTCGTCAGCCACATAGTGCAACTATTCCTAAGCATGAAACCCTGTGTACTAAGTCTCAAATGTTGCATGTCATTATAATTGACTCTTGCTGACCAGTGTAACAAAGATGGCTGACGTCAAAAGTGATAGGGTCATCTTATAGAGTGCAACTCCAGACTCATACATCCCTGTTTTAAGAAACAGCACCACCTGGCAGAGATGGGGCGTACGAACTGTTGAAGGGGTCAAACTATTTAATTTATGAACTGATGATGGCACCGCTCAGTGGTAGAATTCATTTCAAGTAGAATCTAGAGGATGATGATGTCACTAGTCAAGGGTTCCGGGCTTTGTGTTAGCTGCGAACCAGCGACCGCGTCTTATTTACGGTGCCACCCAAACGCATGCAGCACACATATGACCCAAAGAAATAAAGAAAAGTCAATTTTCCCTTTACGTTTTATTATTATTATTATTATTATTATTATTATTATTATTAAAAACATTTTTTTTAACTCCTTTTAATCTTCATGTCTTCCAAAAAAAAGATACTTAGCTATATTATTGTTTATCTTACAAAATGTTTTGTTCAATACAGTGCATGTTTTAAAATATATATGTAGCACAATAAGACATTCACATTTCCTAAGCAACGAAGCTTTACAATTCTATCATCGATTTCATCATTGAAATGCTGCTTGCATTCCTATTTGCTTATTTTAACCAATCGATTTATGAAATGTTTGCTCTGAATGTGTTTCATAAGTTCATAAAGTGTGCTCAAGACTCAAGACCATAAGACAAAGCAGAACGTTAAGGTTGTAGTGAAAGATAAAGGGATATAACCTATGGTCGTAATTATGAAGAAGGTTATCTTTCTTAGAATTCGACGATGGGCTTATTGATTTTCTAATGTAACCGAAATAAAACTGCTACGTGAAAGAAAAAAGCAATAGGGTCTCTTTGAGCGGGAAGAATCTCTGCGATATAGTTTAAGCTGGCTATGTTTGACGTATTGTGTTGTTAATAATCTTAAAAGTTAGTCTGCCTGTGGTCATTTTTTTTTTAAATGTATGTATCGTGCATCAGCCTGTCTGTTTTAAACGCAGGCCTTTTTGAAAAAAAGCTCATTTAGTTATATTTAGTAACGAAAACCTTGTTGCCCAATTACGTAACGCAGCTACATTAATATAATATATAACAAATAAGCATAAAAATATTCTGGTCGGGGGGGAATATTTAAAAATTAGGACATGTGTGATAATATTTTTGGTTAATAACGCAAAAAATAATGAGTGTGTAATATATATATATATATATATATAAGATAAGATAAAGATATTTTTATTTATCCACATAAATGTAAATTTGTTTGAGTTTTTTTGTTGTTTTTTTCTTTACATTGTACATATTCATTTTCAATACATAAATAAATACCTATTTTAACGAAGACAACATTTTACAATTATAACAGTTTAAACGCAACACCATCTCAATCATTTCTCCAGCATAGAAGTCAGCCATCAGTGGCCTCATTGAGTAACGATCAAGTCTTAATTTGTTATCATTCAAATTTGGTGGCCACTGAGAAGAGAGAACTTCGTAGATCAAAGTTGTACTGCATTCTTCTACTTAGAGCGAGCTGCGTTTTACATGTGTTTGATTCATTGTACAGCCTGATATAAATATGATTTTGCAGTCAAGTTTACATTGTTATAGATAGAGGGACTTGTGTTCAGTTCAGTATGATTACGACATTTGAACGTGTCAAGTCATAGGTTGGCGACACTTCTGGCAGGAGAACCTTGACGTCCGGATAACTTTGGCGTTTCGTAATCCTGATTTGTTGCAAGGGCTTTGTTTCGGGCAACTCTTTCATAGACGGCCGTTCGCCAGGAGGAACGGCGATCTACGATGATCTCTCATTCGCCAATTTCTAAACTGTCTTCCCTCGTGTTCCTTTGGGCTATCATCATTAAAGCACAGCCGTGGCCTTCCAATAAGTCCTGTCCCTTCTGCCAACGTCTAGACAGCACATAATTTGTAAACGGCTTCCTCCATCCGCCTTTACATTGTTTAACCATCAAAGAGCGGAGAACATGTTACACATTTTGGTACTTTCCAAAAATTCTGTGTTAGGTATTTTGTCAAGCAATCGAATTCGCGAGATGCGACGAAGACATATTTTTCGGAAGCAGTTTTCGCTCATGACTGGCATATCTGGTTCACAGTTCACTGCCATATAAGAGCGTACTGAACACACATGTCTCATCGTCGCTTAGTTTTGTGCTTTCCGTGAGTTTACGATTTTTCACAGCGCTTATTCAATTTGGCAATAGTCGCTGCAGCTTTTGAGATCCTGAGCATCTCTTCGTCAATGCAGAGTGAGTTAGAGATATAGGATCCAAAGTAAATGAAATTTAAAACAACTGACAGTTCATGGCCCCTTTAAATAGTTATTTTTGGTGTAGATGGTGTTTCTTGCGCGTGTTATCTGTTTTCTGTAGACAAGTGGTCAGTTCAAACTCTTTGCATACGTTGAAGAAGTGATCAACTTACTACTGCAGGCCGTCTTCTGTGTGCGATGTTAATGCAACATCGTCACCGAAAAGCAAATTCACGAATTAGCGTTTTTTTTCCTGGTCTTTGCACGAAGGCGGGCGGTACTGAACAGCTTACCATCAAATCTGGTTTAGATTTACACTCCATCCTCACAGTCCCTGACGATAAACTGAATGCGTACTGAGAAGTAAAAGGTGGAGTTCGTTGGTGCCACTACACCACGAAGCACAAACTGCCATTTCACGAGAACATTCACAGCACAGTAACCTTCAATATCGATAGGCTCAGTAAAGCTCATATATTTCTCCAAACAAAAGACTAAATATATGCATACAGATAACTACACATAAATAACAATTTAGACCAAATGACTCAATGCAGTGTTCAAAATGCAAAATACAAAAAGTTTGATCATTAAGTTGGTAATATTTCTCGTCTAACTTGTGTTTACGTAACACACACGAGAGCTTAACACAATAATCTTCCTACCACTCCTCGTCATCGTATCCATCTCCCCAACTTTCAGTTGTAGTTTCACTGACGCGGGCACCCTTTCTATGCTCTGCTGTATTATTTATTCCTTCCGAAATATCCCTCCGTTCGTAGCCCTCGAAAATCCACAACATTTCCTGAACGTCTGTTTCGGTGAAATTTACATCATCGACAATGCAGTTTCTTCGGCTTTCCGAGACCAGGGTCATAAGTCGGAATAAACATTCATTGGCCACGTGTCCGAGACAATGCATTCGTCGTTCGGCAAATGTTTTCGGCAATCCCACGACGTCCATCCTCTGGCAGAGTTCGCTGGCGCTCAAAATGACGTACTTCTTTTCGGGATAGATCCTGACATATTTGCTCATCCATTGGGATTTGTCTTGCCCTGGTGGTCCGATCATTCTGACCAATTCGCAGTTTGATTCGCTTCTCGGCCGACTCATGCCTGGCACGGTTTCAGACAGAGGACGATGTCCTATTAAAGAAAATCCCTTTGGTTTTGGAAACCACGGCTTCTGATCTCCGAAATTGACATTCACCTTACAGTTTTTCATGGCAATGTGTGGGAATAGCGCCAAGTGCTCATTAAGTTCTGGAAACACGGGCAGTGTAGTGGCCTCACCAAAATAGCTACTGTTTTTCGTGAACGAAATTTTTGCGGGTCCTGTTTCGTTCGTCTCCAGAATGACCCCAATGACGTCATTCACCCGAAAACTTTCCCCGTAAGCTGTCGAGTACCTTTCACAGATGAAATCGCCAGAGCTGCAATAGCAGAACGACCACGAGCCCTCGCCCAGAAGCAAAGACGAGCTGTCACTGGACCACCCGACGCGGAGGAAAGCGCCGCCTTTGGCCAGTTCGGCCACCTCGAACTGCTCCGTTATCTTCACCTCGAAAAAAATATTGCCCTGATAGACTCCCCGGGTAGCTTTGACACCTCCCCACAGAAGCTGGAGACCTGTGCAGTCGTTCAGTGACCACGCAGAGCGGCCGCCTTCGTCTATGCAGATGTTCAAATCGCAGTTGTGTCGATCTAGACACACACTGAGGGCTTTCCTGGGAGAACGCTCTTCATCTTTTAGCACTTTCGCGTTCCTGTCCGTGGCTTCACGTGTAGAAGAAGAGTCGTGTTTTCTCTTGGTACTTTTCTTCATCTTTCCTGGAACTGTCGGTGGTTCTACTTTTTTGATAACTTTGTTCTCCGCCGTCACATTTGCATCTCGGACTTTTTTAACACTTTTACGGCCTTCGTTAGCACTTTGAGACACCTTGCTAATTATGTCTGTCGTCTCTTTCGGCATTGTGTCTTTAGTTCCAGTAGCTGTGCGTGTCCGTTTCGGTTTTTGGCGGCAGGCAGATTCAGACCTAGGCTGCGGTCTCTTAGATCCTGTCTGTACTTTGCATTTGGCCTTCCCCCCGTCATTTGACTCCGTCATTTGACGTGTGAACTTCCTGACTTTACAAGCTGCCATTTCGAATAGTTTTGATAAAACTACAAACAAACAGCAAACGGCAATGTGGTGTTTGATGTCCAGAACAAGTTGTGTTAAGCCTGGCACAGTTATGGGATACATTCTTTGGTTTTCACGTACTTCTTATGTCTGACGTGATGTAGTATATGTGCTTTCTGTATGTCAGAGTAAAAATGAAAAAGGATTTTTTTTGGTCCAATTTGACGTGAAGGTGTGGTCTCTATGGATCAAAATTACTGTTCAGGTGTGCTCTCTATTTTGTTCCAATTTAACTTTAAGGTATCATTGGTCCAGTTCAGCATTAAGCTGTGATCTTTATTGTTCCAACTTAATTTTAAGAAATGGTCTCCATTGGTCCAATTTAACGTTAAAGAGTGGTCTCCATTGGTCCAATTTAACGTTAAAGTGTTGTCTCCGCTTGTCTAAATCGACGTTGAGATGCATGTGTAGGTGATTTGGTCTACATCCGATTAGAGCATGCCTACGGAAAGAAGTTTGAGTTTAGAGATTGATCACTTCAGAACAAGATTAATCGACCCGGGTATCAATCAGTCACTACGCCAATTGATCCATTTACAGCACCAACCAGCAGTTATTCACTTCTCCTGCTGAATTCTATAGAGAACCACATCAAACCTAAAGGACAATAAATGGAAAATCAGCAGATTTGACCTAGCTCATTCTATTCGGCTTCTAAACCAGTGCAGGCTGTCACCATTGCGTCATTACAAGATTCGCTTCTTTCAGTCTCTTTCCTAGTTACTGTCCGTCTGCTATCCGTTAGTTCGTCTGTCATCCGTTAGTCCATCTGTCATCCGTTCATCCGTAGTCCGCCTGCCATCCGTTAGTCCTTCTGTCATTCGTTAGTCCGCCTGCCATCCGTTACACTCAATGATTTGAGTTTAAATCTGATGAAACATCTAACTGAAGCCATTCATATTTACCTTAGATTAACTTTTCTTTAACACTGTTGTATTTTGTATCTCAAAAATTGATTATTTTTTTAAAAACTTATCCAACAATAAGCTGTACATCATTTAATCTATTTGGTCCTTTAAAATTTCATCGATTTCATCTTGAAAGCACAATAATGAAAATTGTGTCACTTTTATAAATTAAGAAGTAAACTTACTTTAAAAAAAAAAAATTCTTTGTATTGAAAAAGATCTTGTTCCTGGTTTATCAACCGACCAGTGCTCCGTCATCTACCGACCAGTGCGCCTTCATCTGCTGACCAGCGCTCCGTCATCTACCGACCAGTGCACATTCACACGTCAAATAACTGAGTCCAATGTGGGTCCATGCTGCGCGGAATTTGAAACTAAACTAACGCCTTGTCAGATTTCCTCGAAGTGGCTGCGCGTTAAGCGAATGGGGAAGAAATAACCAAATGAATTCTATAAATAGACCTGTTTTCATCAACGGGAATCGAATGATAACAATGGGCCTGAATTTTTTAGTGTGGACGACAAGCGACTCATTATCACTTATTTATAAACTGATTTATAGGCCTACACATTATCTAACTGAAATTTTACATTATTTATCTTGAAGTGTGGGCAAGAATGTTGACATAGCAAGGTTTATTTATTTTTTTTCTTATTAATTACGTTAATTTGTTTTTAATTTTTAATTATTTTTTTTTTAAGGAGAGGGTAGCTAATTTATTTTGAAACGTAATGCAGACGCGGTCGGTAAACTAATTAGAGTTATCACAATCAATCATGTTTGTCACTCGTTATAATGTCAACAAGATCTAGCACCTGTGTAGCGAACTTCCCTCTTAGGTCAACTACCGTGCAACAGACTCAAGTAAGATGCGTTTTACGGAAATGGAAGTTTGCTACAGGCTCTATGTTGTCTAGGGTAGCACAAGCTTAACAACTCTATTATGTCGATTAGCTAGGCTCTATTTTGTCTAGGGTAGCACAAGCTTAACAACTCTATTATGTCGATTAGCTAGGCTCTATGTTGTCTAGGGTAGCACAAGCTTAACAACTCTATTATGTCGATTAGCTAGGCTCTATGTTGTCTAGGGTAGCAACACGATTAACAACTCTGTTATGTCGATTAGCTAGGCTCTATTTTGTCTAGGGTAGCACAGGCTTAACAACTCTATTATGTCGATTAGCTAGGCTCTATTTTGTCTAGGGTAGCACAAGCTTAACAACTATATTATGTCGATTAGCTAGGCTCTATTTTGTCTAGGGTAGCACAAGCTTAACAACTCTATTATGTCGATTAGCTAGGCTCTATGTTGTCTAGGGTAGCACAAGCTTAACAACTCTATTATGTCGATTAGCTAGGCTCTATGTTGTCTAGGGTACCAACAGCTTTACAACTCTATTATGTCGATTAGCTAGGCTCTATTTTGTCTAGGGTAGCACAAGCTTAACAACTCTATTATGTCGATTAGCTAGGCTCTATGTTGTCTAGGGTACCAACAGCTTTACAACTCTATTATGTCGATTAGCTAGGATCTATGTTGTATAGGGTAGCAAAAAGCTTAACAACTCTGTTTTTTTGCGATTCGCTAGGCTCTATATTTTCTATATGGTAACAACAAGCTTAAATGGCGATTTGCTAGGCTCTATGTTGTCTATAAGAGGAACAATAATCTTATTATTCTGTCATAGTGTATATTCTGGTCCACACTTGATATCGACATGAGTAACAATGTGGCGTGAAAATAACAGATGCCTCAAATCAGAGGGCCACACTGGTTAACGACATGTTTACAAACGCCCTAAATAAAAAACCTCACTGCACTCACACTACTGAGATCAGATAAGATAAGATTCTTTTATTGATCCATATAAATGGCAATAATTTTTTCATTTTATTACGTTGTACATATTCAATTTTAGCACACAAATAAATACATATATATGACAATATTTTACAATTGTTACCATTTAAACACAAGACATTTAAAGTATTTCACTGAAGCGTAGAAATAAATGATAAATAAATGATGTCATTAAGTGGCAATGATGACTTAATTGGTGATCGTTTAGGAGCACGTCGGTCAATTTGTACGGACTGTAGAACAAAAGAACGTTTTGAATCTTTCGGTCATAACCTTAAGAGAAAGAAGTCACACTGATCGAGTTGATCTTAGGTATCTGGGACGAAGTGGGTGGGGCTGATCTTAGGTATCTGGGACGAAGTGGGTGGGGCTGATCTTAGGTATCTGGGAGTAAGTGGGTGGGGCTGATCTTAGGTATCTGGGACGAAGTGGGTGGGGCTGATCTTAGGTATCTGGGACGAAGTGGGTGGGGCTGATCTTAGGTATCTGTGACGAAGTGGGTGGGGCTGATCTTAGGTATCTGTGACGAAGTGGGTGGGGCTGATCTTAGTTATCTGGGGCGAAGTGGGGGGGGGGTGTATTTTCCAAAATATTTTTTTAGTTTTACAACAGCCTTTTCTTCAAATAGTTCCTCAATTGAAGGATGTTTAGCTTGTATGATATCACTAGCTTTCTTGATTAGTCTATGTTATCGATGTTTGATGTCAGTCAGTGAATTCCCACACCAGCAGGTAAGACACAAGATAAGATTCTTTTATTTATCCAAACAAATGGGAACGATTTTTGATTACATTGTAAATTTTTAGCACATATAAAAAATTTTGAACACAAGACATCTGCATTAAATCATTTCACTAGTGGGAAAAAAAGCCATTCATTTAATTCTCTTAGCCATATCAGGGACTTATTAGTTATCATTTATAAGCTTTGTGACTTCTGGGGGAGCACGCTGTTAAATTTTTTACAGGTTGGGGAACAATAATAATATTGAAGTTCCGTTGCTTCGAATTGGTGCCCTGTAGAATAAATTAAATTATGTATACAGAATGGTGGCAGTTCGTACCATGTAGAGCTTATCATTAATGGCGACACCTAGGTTCTTATATGTATCTACTTGCTCTATCCTGTGATTATTTATTGTGAGATCTGCAATTTGGTGGGCCCAAACCCGGAAATCGACAACAATCTCTCTCGTTTTTGAGACACCCATCTGAAAATAATTTTCATCGCACCAACTGATAAAGCTTGCAATTTAGTTACGGTACAAGCTTTCCTCTTCAGCAGATATTAAGCCAAAGATGGTGATATCATCAGCAAATTTAATGATTGGAACGGGGTTGCATGGGATATCATTGGTATAAATTTGTATATAGGACAGGGGGAGAGAATGCAACCCTGAGGGGCTTAAGCACTCATTTCTCTAATTAATTATATTTGATCATTTACCTTGACATATTGTCGGCGGTTTGTTAAAAATTTCAGTATTCACGCTTGAATATATGAATTTACACCTAACGAAGAAAGCTTAAGGTGTGAAAGGATATTTTTAAATTCTGATGAGAAAATCTACGAAAAGCCCCCTAGTATACTTTTCAGGTGATGGTAAAGTCTTTCCAACACTATTAAGATAGTATTCTCGGTACCTCTGGCAATTATATAATCGAATTGGCGGGATCAAGTTTTTTTGCTGTACTACATTTAAAATTTGTCTGAGGATAATTTTATTTTTCAAAACATTTCAAAGCAATAGAAGTAAGAGCGACGTCAGTAATACTCAACTGGCCAACTAGAATTAATGCGCAGAGATTTTCGAATTCTAAGACAAGAGATTAGGGCAGTGGAGTCACTAGGAATGAGGAGCGCAATCGTTTGAAAAAAAAGTGGTGTACTTCAAGTGGGTCAAAACGATTTTATATTTATTTTTTTTTTTTATATATTCGAGGGCCCAAGATTAATTTATTGATCATTTTGGCTCCTGTTCGAATTCAAAGTGTTACTTCTCTTAGGGGAGTTTTCGTCCATGGCTAGCGAGTCACGTCAAACCCGGGGTGCTTGGGGCGCTGGCTTTAGTGGGGATTGAGCTCCAGACCACACGCTATTTGGATTGAATCAGTTTAGGCCGATCGGCCAACCTGCACCCATGTTAAAACCCATATAGACTAACAGAAAGACATAAAGTAAACTTTAACCCCGTTACTAACCAACTACTATATAAAACACTCCAATATATTTGTGGCTATCTACTGTATACTTGACTTAAAACAATTTATCGGTCTTGGGAATTTGTGACATTTTGTACGCATTACCTATGGACGGTTTTTTTTTGTGTTTGTTTGTTTGCTTTTTTTTTTTTTGTTTTTTTTTTTTTTTTTTTT